GGTGGTGATGGTGATGGTGGTGGCGGTGGTGATGGTGGTGGTGGTGGTGGCAATGGCAGTTATTAACATAAGTGCACCACATCTTCTTCCAGGCAGCATGTGAGGCATTTGACATCCGAGGCAAACACCATATTCAGATCCCCAAGCTGTACCTCTCCAGTGAGACCTGGGACCCGCACCAGTATAGGCTCGTGCAGAACTCAGAGCCTTTGGACCTCAACAAAGGTACCCGCTTCTCTGGCACATGACACTCACCGGCCCTTCCTGCTGGACCAGGGTCTCTGAGCCGGTGATCAAGAAAGTCCCCGAGCAGCCCTTAGAACAGAGCCATGGCCTGCGGTCGCCCAGGACCCCCTTCACAAGGAGCCCCATTGGGAATAACCCTGAAGGGCTTGCTTCATCTTGGAGAGAGGCTGTTTTAGGAGGAAGCCCCAGGGAGGGTGGCTGGTGAGAGAATGGAGCCTGTGCAGACCGTGTCCAGGCACTGGGCTGAGGCCCACAAACTAAGAGAACCCTCACCCTCATCTCATGAGGGAGGCAGCTGGAGGAACTGAAGCGGGGGGAGGGGAAGCAAGTTGCCCTTCACGCAGCTAGCATGCAGCCACACTGGGACTCGTGCCCCAGCTCCAAAGGCAGCTCAGTGCTGAAAGAAGGTTCCACGGAGACAATTCCAGGCTGCCTTTCGTGAACCCTCAGCCCTGGCCCCTGGGGCCCTCTGTGGCTCCTTTATTCTTGTATCATGAGAATGAAACAACACAACAACAAAACCAAACCTTTTCCCCTCCAGTTGATTTCGACTCATAGTGAGTCATGGGCCAGAACAGCACTCTCCCAGAGGATTGCTAAGGGGTTACATGCCAAGCTACTAACTGCAAGTTCAGTAGTTTGAAACCACCAGCCGCTCCTCGGGAGAAAGACGAGGCTGCCGTCTTGCAGTGACAGTCTTGCAAATGCACGGGGACAGTTCTGCCCTCTCCTATAGAGTTGCTATGCATCAGAATCAGCTCGATGGGAGTGGGCTTGAGTGTTTTAAAAATCTTTATGGAAGCAGATTGCCTCATTTTTCTCCCATGGAAAAGCAGGTGGGTTTGAACCACTGACCTTGGCTTAATCATGGCACTGACTGAGAGCCCTTTACTGTGAGTCTTCTGCTCAGCACATGTAGACTCTCTCCAGCTTCTCTCTCCATTGGAGCCCAAGCCATGGGGTGGCCCTGGAAGTCCACCCATTCCGCTAATTTAGATAGCTGGGCATCTAAATTCCAATTCCCAACACCTCGCAGCAGCACAGTGGATGGGTTTGGTTAAGTTCCTTGGCATCCCTGGGGGCTTGCCAATGGTCAGTGTACTCAGCTGCAAACCCAAAGGTTGGCAGTTCAAGGCAACCCAGAAGTGCCTCAGAAGTAAGACCTGGTGATCCCCTTCTGAAACAGCAGCCATCGAAAACCCTGGGAAGCCCAGTTCTGACACACCCGGGGGTCGTCCTGAGCCAGGGTGGGTTCTGGTAGTGACACAGCATCCTGGGTCAGGTCACAGATCTTGGTCAGTGATTTGGGAACACAGTGGACAAGGGGGAAGGGAAGAACGTGGGCCAGCTCCCACCAACACAGGAGGCTCACCGCCCCTCCCTGACTCCGCTCTTTCAGCCCTGAGCAGCATACATGCCAAGCCCGTGCTCACCCTGAAGCTCAAAGCGCTGCAGAACCTCCAGAGCCCGGCGTCCAGGTGAGTACTGTACCTCATGGGGCCGCTCACGCCATCGCCCACGGGCCTGGTTCAAAGGGAGCGCGGGGTGGGCGAGCATCTGCTGCGGCTGCGGGCAGGGGTGCAACCTGCAGGCCATCTCTCCTGGGGACCCCAGGGGCTGGCAGGGACATTGGGTCTGCTCTGAGTCACTCAGTCACCTCCTCACCCAAGGGGGCAGGTGGGAGAAATGCCAACTCTTTCTTCACTTTATGGGAATTCGGGGCGGGGTGGGGGGGGGGACACCACTGAGCTTGGGACCCCGAACACTCCTCAAACCTCCTGGAACTGTACCGTCACCCGCCCCCCCAACCTGGATCACCTTTCAGCCAAACAGTAGCCCATCCTAGAAAGTGAGCAGTCACACTCGTCAAGAAAGAATTCCTCGGGGTGACAAAGGCTTGACCAGAAGGCAGCATTTGCCCCAAAGGCTGGAAGGA